CTTTTTTTAACAATCCCCCCCCCCCCCCCCCCCCCAATTTTGCCAATTGCAAACAGGACAATGCAAGCCTTAAGGAATTTCTGCATTTCCAAGAGAGCAGGCTATATACCTACACAGAGCCATGGAAAGAGAGAGTTGCGTCAACGGAAGTCCAGGACGCTCGATCGTCACGTGATTCACGTAGACCTCAAATAGTTCCAGGAAGTTTATAGCGGGCAATTGAAATACAATGAGTTGGAGAGACAGAACTGTGATTTTTGGTAATTGGTAGACAATAAAATAATTTATTTACATTATTTATAATATAATGTATACGTAGTGTATACATTATTTTATATATATTTATTAGATGTAGTTATATTAGTGTTGTTTTTAAAAGATAAAATCCTCTAATATTTGAGGATTAATGTGGTCAGCTATCCGTACCTGCCTTGTTAACATATTTTAGGCTTTAGTTACCATGGTAAAAGTCCGTGTTTGCTATATGAACAACATCGTGGTCTTCTGCCAAGGTAACTTCAGCCTCACTATATAAATATAATTATGTGTGTGTTTGTGTGTTCTTACAACTTGCTTGTTAGTCAAGTTCAATCATAAATATACCTGTTCATTGTCGTTTTACTAATCTCATGGTAAATGTTACGTTTGTTGTCTTACAAACCCAATTCCAAAAAAGTTGGGACACTGTACAAATTGTGAGTAAAAAAGGAATGGAATAATTTACAAATCTCATGAACTTATATTTTATTCACAATAGAATATAGATAACATATCAAATGTTGAAAGTGAGACATTTTGAAATGTCATGCCAAATATTGGCTCATTTTGGATTTCATGAGAGCTACACATTCCAAAAAAGGTGGGACAGGTAGCAATAAGAGGCCGGAAAAGTTAAATGTACATATAAGGAACAGCTGGAAGACCAATTTGCAACTTATTAGGTCAATTGGCAACATGATTGGGTATAAAAAGAGCCTCTCAGAGTGGCAGTGTCTCTCAGAAGTCAAGATGGGCAGAGGATCACCAATGCCCCCAATGCTGCGGCGAAAAATAGTGGAGCAATATCAGAAAAGAGTTTCTCAGAGAAAAATTGCAAAGAGTTTGAAGTTATCATCATCTACAGTGCATAATATCATCCAAAGATTCAGAGAATCTGGAACAATCTCCTATAGTTTGCTGTGCTGCATGGGAGTGCTCCAGTCACTCACAGAAAGGAATGTGAATGTATGGTTTCTCTACTGATCTGGAGAGGAGAAAAAAATTATGCATTAAGTTTTGTTCAATTCACATTTATTTGTATATCTTTTTTTAATATACACATTGTTTCAAAGTAGCTTTACAGAAAATGAATGTTTCTACATTACGAATAAGAGTTCTGTTAACAGGTGTAACTGTGCCAAAGTAATGGTAGAAATGTTCTAAAATTAGGCTGTACAAATCCAAATTCAGAAACAGTTCAATATATACAGAAACAATGAACAAATTAAAGCAATGGTTACATGATGTGATATGCTCCATCACATTGCAGTCCTGTGGCATCTGCTCCTTCAACACAGTGCTTCTTTAGTAGCTAAGACGTTTAAGTATAAAATACAGTAATAATGTACAGGTTTACTGTAATTACTTCTATAATATAGTAGTGGTATATAATCCATTTTTGGACATTTAGCCTAGCATGATTCTGAAATGAAAACTGCTCACCTACATTAAACTTTTCATTCTCACTTTGGTCCATCTGCATCCTTTGCAATATATCTAAGTCTATTTAATAACTCCCCACCAGCAAAATCACTTTTAAATTACACAACGATGGATGAAACTGCATGAAGAGAATTAATAACATCCTGTAAATCTACTAATTAAGTGAGGAATAATCTAATAATCATCTGTTTTAATGCACAGGGTAATTTGATTAGCTGTGCTGATAATATACTATTTTGTTCTATAAATGTCATACCTTTCAAAAGTTCATCACAGCGGTCTCTTCTGCTGCATCTCTAAGGCGCTGATAGTATAAGCGTTAACTTCTGGCTCCACGATCCGCCATTGCTGTAAAAAAAAACTGGTCCATTGGCGTGAACGGAGTTGTCACAACTCTCTCTCTCTCTCTCTACAGCTCTGTACCTACATACATATAATGCGTCCCCCGCGTACGCCCATAGAGCTATTGTACTTGATTGTTTGGGGTCCCAGACACCATATGATGTAGTTTTACTAAAACTTGTATTTTCCGTTTCAAATGTTTCAAACCTTTTCTGACCTAACTGCAACACAGCAGACATATAATTGAAGGTTTAGCCGTCTGTTTTACCATTTCTGGCCCCAATAAAAACATGTTGCTGAATACAAATCCAAACAGACAAGTACTTACAGTCTGAGAACCAAAAAGGTAATCTTATTGTTAAACATTCAAAGCCTATTATTCATTTTTATTGTGTAAGTAAAATGTCTTATATTTTAAGTATTTTGGGGGCTATTAATAAAGGAAATGGTCTCTCGGTGAATTTCGTCACAGGCTTGCCAAATATGACGTTAGTTCATGTTTCCTGGTGTGAGGGTGTTGAGGGTAAAGTAAACGTGAATATAGTGCCGTAGTTTGAGTACGTACTCAGTGTGACAGTGAGTCAGGGACCAGACACACATCAACCATGTTGCAGCTGAAATGGGTACGGTATGGTTTTTGTATTCATGTAACGCTTATGTATTCTCTTTGTAATGAGGTTTATTCAGTCAACTTTTTATTGCATTTACACATGTAATTAATATGCCTTGACCTACATATATAAATATAAATACATGTTTTGCAGTTTGAAAACCTTTTCTCTTGGTCGCAGACATATAAAAGCTAAAAGTCTGATAAACATAGTATTGCACTTTCTCTGTCATATATGTTGATAAATATGTGAAATTAACTGACATGCTTTTTTATTATTATAATTTTTTGCAACCTCTAACTAAATTCAGTCAAAGATTAAATGAGGTGCATTTGCTTGATCTCCGTTATGTGACTTCTCTCACGGTGTGTCTGTATGTAGTTATTCTCCGTTGTATATCTTCTCTCGCGGTGCTCTGTGTGTGAGGCTTATGTGGTCAGACGGTCCGGCAAGGCAGAATCATCGGAGTCTCTCTCAGGATGTAGGTTTATACTTCTTTAATACCAGAATGTTTTTATTCTAGAATTTGTGTGCTTAATGTATAAATTATTATACAATTGTAAATTTAAACTGTATGCAATGAATATATAACAAACATGACTACAGTGGTTGCAGAGCAGAATTTACAACTTCGAACCACTTATTGTATGGGTTTAATAAATCTAAATGTACATTCAGTATGCTAATTAAAAACGTACATATGAAGAAATAAATAACATTTGGTGTTCAGTGACATTATAAGGACTCTATCGTAATATGTTTTCATCTAGAAAAATCTGTTTTATTGTACATGCAGTGGACCCCTCTAGGGGTAACATAACATGGCCAAGAATGTTATACAGAGTTACAGCTGCTACCAAAAGTAACTATATGTACTGCATTAGGCTGTTTCTGTGGGCTGCTATTCATAAGTGGTCTGCCATATTGGATACACAGATCAAGAATGAACTATGAAGTGGCAGAAACTGAGTGTCAGTGTAAAGTCCAAGACCATTGGCTGTATTGGGGCATTTACTAAACCGTAAAACTTAAATACAAACTTACTGAGTACACCTTAAATTTATAGAAATTTGATAGAAATTAATAGAAAATGTGATCGACAGTGATTATATCTTTGTAATATTTTGTAGAGTGGATTGTGATTGGTCTTTTCTTAGTTGCGCCACCATTTGTAGTGCTGAAAAATAATTCGCATTTTGAACTTTGTAGAATGAAGCCTTTCGATTAATCAGTAACTTCCTCCCTGTATTAGATGATGTTCCCTGGTTGCAGGAAGAGTGTGAAGAGATTAAAAACCACGAGTCTCCAGCCGGGTGAGAGACATCACTGAATGGGCTCCCCATCCATCCCACCTTTTATATTCACCACTAAGTCCACAACACTTATATCTTAGGTCACAGCTGTACTTAACATACTAGAAGATAGGGAATTGTTTTTTTTTTTAATGCTGTGAAGTGCCGAATGATGGCAAACACTGTGGAGTTAAAAGATGGATATTGGGCTTCTGTGTGATCAAACACCTATCTGGGAGGACTGGGTGGTTTGCATAACAGTTCATGTTAATGCATGCACATTAAGTGTGACTTTTTGAGCCTAATCATATGAATGGTGCCTATGGAAGGCTTGAAAGCTGTTATAAAAAGAACAGTCAAGGTAAAGACTTCCCTGTCCGCTACAAATGAGGACAAATTTTAGCAACAAATATTAATTTCATTTTGTTTGTAATTGGTGTACTAATCTTTCTTTCTATGTATAGGTTTGTTTGGCCGCCTGTCATCATGCTGTCTGTTGATGGCTTTCGTGCGTCTTACATGAAAAGAGGAAGCATGGTGATCCCCAATATCGAGAAACTCAGTAAGACTTATGTCTTGTAATAAAAAATAAAAATAAAAAAAAACTGGCCAACAGTCTACAGCAGTTTATTTTGCAATTGAGTTTGCCTGTGGTAAACACAGGATCTTAGACAAAGTAAACTTTGGGCACATTCTTGTTCAGAGAACATGTTCATGTATTCCATGTGTGCTAAATTACCTCATTTATTGTACTAAACTGATGCCTTTGACTGATTCTAATAGACTTATTTTCTCATTTCTCTTGTAGGATCATGTGGAACACATGCACCATACATGAGACCTGTGTACCCCACCAAAACCTACCCAAATTTGTATACAATTACAACAGTATGTATTAAGTTGGTGTACTTTGTGTTACATTTTTGCTTATAAGTGTAAATACCCCTTGCAGAATCTGCTAGATGTTTATCTTTAAAAAAAGAAAAATGAGGGGGGAAAATGCATTTTGTTTTTTGTTGCAGTTTTTCTTGTAGAATTCAAATTCTACAAGGGGGATGTTCATTTAGGACTTAGGATGAAACTTAGGATAAGCACTTGTATATGATCATATTATTTCTGTTGCCTCTTAAACTGTTTGCTTTGAACATATTTCTTTTGTTTTTTCTTTGCTTTAAGGGGCTTTATCCTGAGTCGCATGGAATTGTGGGTAACTCCATGCATGATCCTGGCTTTGATGCCAACTTTAACATTCGAGGGAAAGAAAAGCTCAACCATCGATGGTGGGGAGGACAACCTGTGAGTTGCCCTTCCATACCTTTTTTAAGGGATAGTTCATCCAAAAATGAAATTGTGTCATGTACTCACCTTCCATAAAGGGCTGCCTCATAATAGTTGACTAAACATTAGTCAACAGAAGAGGCTTGGTCGACTACATTTTCATTAGTTGGTTAGTTGCAGAAAAAAAAAACTCCACAAGATTTGATAAAGTGACGCAGTCAGTAGCCGAATGCTTGTTAATACTTCTGGTCTCGCTAATAATTATGTCCGGAAGAAAATGGGGGTAAAGGATGACCTCCAAAAGGTTGCCAAACTTTGCAGGTAAACATTGGTCTATCGTTCATCGACAATGAACATGTTTTATCATCAAAAACATGTTAGTGAGTAGTAGCCTAATGTTAGCTATGGCTGCTCATTTTAACATTAAGGTTAACTTCGATAAATGTGCATTATTAGATTAGGCACTTATCTAAGTTTGCGTGCGGAGTGTGGAAGTTAAATCATACTGAAATAATATGAGAAAACTGAGATCAGAATTCAGAGGAAAATAAAAGTATTGATATAGTTATATTCTAATTGCACACATTGTAGTGTTTCAGTTTGCTTTTATACATTTTATATATATTTATATATATATATAAAACAAAAATAAATCTGCATACAGTTTTATAAAGAAAGAAAACAAATACGTGCATGCTTATGTATTTCTCTTTGCTGTTTTTTTTCTGATGCATTCATAATCATATCTTTTTCAGGTGTCTCTATGGCTCATTTTATGTGTGCGCTTAAGTGCTTAATTTATGTTTTAATTTCTTATTATTATGGTATAGTATTTCTTTGTAATGTAGGACAATGTTACAAATAACATTCTTTCTCAGCCCTGAAACTCAAACCATTTTCTCGCTGTATATACTTAAAGAGTAATTAAAATAATATCATAAACCTGTGATTAGTTGACTAATGGCTTAAATGAACGACTACTAGTCCGCTAGGAAAATCTTTTGACAGTGGCAGCCCTAGTTCTATAAGAACAATAAAAAACAATCTATAGAACTTATTTTGGACCCATATAATTTATTTGTGTGACAAACAGGCTGAAATGTAAAGTTTTTTTCTGCATCATGGTAGAAAAATAAATAATATTTTTTTCAAGCAACATACAGTATAATTTGCAATATTTAATTATATATTAGATGTTTTACCAGAGTATGTATATTTTTATATATATATGTGTGTGTGTGTGTATGTGTGTGTATATATATATATATATATATATATATATATATATATATATATATATATATA